CTTTCCCTTTGTTCTTCCCGTTTTGAATTTGCACCTTTAATTCATGCCTCCCACAGCTCCGCTGACTGACAAATAAGTGCAGCACCTGTTTACCACCTCTATACCTGGACATTACTCTGTGCTACTCTGCAGAATCTAGTGGAGATCTGTGGGTTGTGCAACTATTGACATATATATGTTCACATATCTCTATATATAGACATATATTTAATGTCAGTTCTGTTCTGTGTTCCTGAAGTCTATATATGTCCATTTACTCTTTAGGCTCAGTGTGTAGTGGACCTTATGCTTTTTAGCTGGTAGGAGTTGGAACAGAAATTTTTTAGCAGACTTCTGTGTGTATGGTCATACAAATATAATGTAATAGAGGTTTGAGAGCTGCATCATACAGAACAAGAACAGTATTCATTATTAAGATAATCTGAAAAAGATAATGTTATGTAGTTGCTAAGCATTGGGTAACAGGTAAAAATGCTTGTTGCTACAAAGGACTTTGTACCTTCCTCCTATGTCCTTCTTTGTGCTCAGCCTGAGTTGCCATGTGCTGGTCTGAACTTGCATATAGCCAGAGAAATCCCCGTTGAGGGCAACCATGAAGGCTAATGCACAAGAGCTTCGTAACACATTTAAGCTTTATTTAAGGAAAAACAAGCAAACAAACAAAAAGCCTATGGAAACTTGTTCACAAGTTGTAAAAAATTCTTTCATATTACCTCCATTCTGTTATGCTAGCTGCTGTCAGTGTTAAGACAGAAGGACAAAGAGAGATTTTAGCAAGATTTACAAACTTTTGGTGTGGATGGAGCCTACCATCCCCAGCATAGAATCATAGAATCATAGAATCGTCTAGGTTGGAAAAGACCTTTAAGATCATCCAGTCCAACCATTAACCTACACTACCAAGTCTACTCTAAGCCAATCAAGGGTAGACTAGACTAAACCATGTCCCGAAGTGCCACATCTACCCGTTTTTTGAACACTTAAGAGCGTGTTTTTGTTCCTTTATGCATGGATTAATGGCACGGCCCCCTGCCATGGCAGGGCAAGTTCCTGTGTCGCTCACAAGGTGGTTCAACGTCAGCTTAAGCCAGTCTTACCCTGGGTTGCCCAAGTCCTGCTCTGGCACCGTCCTCAGCTGTGTGCTCCCACCCCTTTCCCTGTGTGCACGCTGCTTCAGCAGCTGAAAATCGAGCTGGCTGAAGGAGCTGTCTGCAAGACAGAGTCCCTCTTAGCCACAGTTTTGTTTCGGTGTGTGAAGACTTGTGCTGTCACGTGCTGGGTAATGCAGCAACTGAGAGGTCCATCAGATTGGAACAGAGGACCTGAGAGGATGTGAAATGGGTCCGAGGCAAGAGCTAAAGGAAAAGGGGAAAGGAACAGGAGAGAAGTGAAAGAGAAAAGTCACAAGGATTTATAATTAAATCTTTCCTCCAAACTTTACATTAAACTATCATTCTTGATTCACAAAAGATCAGTGGTGTTAGGGATTAAAATTGAATAAAAGAGATGAAAAGGAATATTGATTAGATGTTCATTGTGTATTCTGGGCACTGATGATTTGGAGAACTGGAGGAAAACGAAGTATGTGACCATGATATTAAAAGCTATATATGCATGTAAAAATGTGGGAATTGGAAACACAACAGAAAAAATTAAAATCACACAGACAAGTTCTGGCATTTCCTAATTTTGGAAGTGAGGAATTTGTGCTATAGGTTTGGTAAAATTCTTGTATGTATTATTGTATTTAATATAAGTCTACAAAAAATTGGAATGGGATTTTCAAAAGCACTATGTCTTCACTGTGTTCTAACCCATGTGGACTTTCACCAGCTCAGTTTTCCAAACAGCTGGAGATAATGAAAATGTCAAACTTCTGGAAGCTCTCAAGTCCTTTCACTGGTCTTAGTCTAATCCTGAAAGAAGACCTAAGTTATGTGTCTTCTAAAAAATATACACAGTTACGTTGTATGAAAAGAGACTTCTGTCTTGCTATTTTTAAATCTGTCGTTAATACTAGGAAAAAAGCAACATCTTTCTTGTGTCATGGAATGCTAGCAGGAAGAAGTTAATAGACCGTATTTAGAGCGCTATTTCCTTATTGATTATTTTTGCTTGAAATGACTAGCTATAAACACTTAAACAGTCAGAACTGCTGTAATACAGTGATGTTTTAAATTTAATATTCCTATGAAGAGACATATTCACAAACATTATAAATAGAATATCTGTGGGGTTTATTCTATTCCTTCTAGGATCTCTTTTACATAGCTACTTTTTATTGGGGTTTCCCGAGCAAAAAGTCACACAGCCTTATTCCATGCCATTCCAGAAAATGAAGTGCTGTAGAAGTGCACTAAACCAATTAATTTTTTAGATTTTAAAAAAGGAATGGAAAGGAGGTGTTGAAAAACATCTTTTGATAATCCCAAATATATACAAAACATACACCTGCAAGCTATAGTATAATTGCAGTTTTTATTTTTGGAAAGGAGTAAGCTTGATTGTCAACAAAAGACCAGATTGACAGCATTTCTAATTGTGGGAAGTGCTGTGCCTGGATATTTGGTAACTTTCATAGCTTTACAGGTTAAGGCACTTAAAGAGATGTAACCAATCAGCATCCTTTGAAGTAGCTATTCTGTGAACCCACTTCCTTAGTATCTAAAATCTAATTTATTTACTTACGTAATGATATGCCTATAAATGCAGCAGCTTTATGCCTACTGCTTCATAGCTACTGCATTTTGATTGCTTGCTTCGAGTGCATTAGTCAGCCATGTGAAGTAAGTTCATAAGCTATTTGAACTTACATTAAATAATTAATTTTGTCACTCTATTTTAAACAAATTTTAAGATTAGAAAATGCTTTTTCTAAACCTTTTATATAAATCAGGTCATGAAAGAGATCTGAAATTCATCACTTAAAAATAAATTGTAGCTATCACAAAGAGCTGTATTCAGCACACCTGAAATGGCCTTCGTATCTATTCTATATGTATATAAAAATACACAGTATAATGTTAACCAAACCTGGTTATTGATTTGATAACAATCAGAGATATAATTACAGTATTTTTCTGTGAGGGAAATATTAGTCTGTACTTCCAAGCGTTATTTATAATGTCCACCCCTGATTTTGCTTGAAAAACTTATGAGTTATCCATCTAATAAAAATTCAGGAAAATAAAAGAATGGAAGAAAAAAATAAGCATTTCCATTAAAACTGAAAATTCAGGAAAATAGAATAAAGGAGGAAAATAAGAAACATCTCCCCTAAAACAATTCAGTCTGTCTAAACAGCAATGTCATATGAATGTCTTCTAATGTTATTTCCACGTATGTCAGTGCACCCAACAGAATGTACACAGAAGGGACGTACATTTATTATCAAATTTAGAGACTATGTTGCCACTAGCTTATCTTATTCTGTCTCATTATTGGAGGAACCTTTTATCATTCTTTGGTTTTGAGGACTATGAATGCTGCATACCCTTTAGGAAAATGGTTAAGGGCTTTAACCTTAATTTTGCTACTTTGGATTTTGTTTTCTTGTTTCACAGTTGTAGCATTATTCCCATGACTTGTACTTTGGATTTTGAAACTTTTAAAAGGAAATAATGTACATTTACTCTTGCCACCTTAATTTTCTCATCACTTTAACCTAAAATGAAATAAGAAATACACCATTTGGAAGTGATGCATTCAAGATTTTGTTATTTTTTAAATAAATATTAAAACTATTTGACAAATGGGGAGGTTCAGACTTGGTATTAGGAAACATTTCTTTACTGAGAGGGTCAATGCCCCAAGTGTTTAAGAGGCATTTGGACAATGCCCTTAATAACATGCTTTAACTTTTGGAGAGCCCTGAAGTGCTCAGGCAGTTGGACTCAGTGATCGTTGTAGGTCCCTTCGAATTGAACTATTCTATTCTATTCTATGCTATTCTAAATGCTTTTATGAAATGGCATAGACTGAAAATCAAAACCCTGGTTAAAAAGAAACAAAAACTACACATAAGAAGAATTAATTATGTGAAAACATAGTTTCACAACTTATTTTACTGTATATACTAGAGTAAAACTGGCAATTGTTATAGAATAACCTAATCACTTCTTATTTTACAAATTAAGCAGATTACACAGCATTGTATAATTTATGACTGCTTTGGTTTAATATATATATTGGTAATATTTAAACCACACAGTAAATTTCTCTATTGTAGACATTCTAGGTATACTTTATCTGATTGGAAATAGGTAAGTTTAGACAAATATATAGCTGGCTCTTCCAAATAGCTGACTGCATCTGTCTGTGATTCATCTGCTGCTGTGTAGACAACTTTTTCCAGCACTTGCACAATGCAGAGGCGTGCAGACAGCATCATTCTGAGGGAGTTCTCCAGTGCTGCAGAAAAAGAAAAGCAATTTGAGAGCAGAGACAACTTGCCTTATTCAAATCCCAGACTTCCCTCTCTTTTGTGCTTCTAGACTCTCCTGCTCCTTCGTCACGATTGCTACGATTACCTTGGAGGATCAATCACTCTCGCTTCATAAGAGAGCCCCGTGTATCACAAGGCTCCAGGTGCACTTGGCATGGGCAGAAAAGAGAAGCAGTGTCAGTGCTGCATGCAGAGTTTTGTGCCTCAGGATGATCCCAGTATGGACAGCTGACCTAGCTCTGCTAGCTCTTCCCAAACTGTGGTCCTATTGCCACTAGCAGTCAGGGAGGCAGCAGGGAGACAGGATGATTAACAGTGCCCTTACTTTTGGCATCAAACAGCCAAACTACTCTGTGTATATGTAAGGATGTATGTGTGGCCAGGTGGTGTGTATGGTGGATTACTGGCTTGCAGTTTCTCACTGGGAAAGAAAAGGAGGATTACCTCTGAAATAAGATGCAGAGGAATGGGAAGAAAGGGAGTCTGAGTAAGGGTGAGGGAAGTGGATTGGGGTCCTGACTAAGATGTGCAGGTCCCCCTCACTCTATTGACCCTCTACAGGTTTAGGTTACGACAGCAGCACAGGAGCCAGGGCACTGCCAGGTTTCGCTGTCAAAAACACCCTATAGCTTATCAAGAATGCAGTGTACATTGCAGGTGGGGTAACTTGTAGCTGGTTTTAAGCACCTCATTGACATCAACCAGGAAGAATCCATCACTGGCAAGAAGTCTCTGTCACTGTAGGGGAGGGCAGGAAGGCTGTGCAGTTGGTGACAGGAAGTCAGCAGAGTACCCAGCACTAGGACCCCACTGCCAGGCCAGAGCATACTGCTTCTGTGGGGGGATGATGTAGACACTGCTGATTTTCAGAGAAAAGCCCCCACTAAGGACAGACCACAATATTCGTGGGCAGAGACCACATGTGATCTGAAAGATATAGTAGCTCAGATGTGTTGCACCTTCTTCTTCTTTAGCTATTGCTCTCATTTCTGAAATTATATGTGATACAAACTACTTATTCACTTGGCTTTTGACCTGTCTCTCTATTTGTGCTGTTTCCTTTAAAAGCAGACAACTTCTGGTTGTTTTCATGCCTTGTTTCCATGGCAAAGTGTGTGACACTGTTCTCTTGTCATCCAGCATACCAGCTCTTGAGTAGCATTGTGCTGCTGCTGCCAGACCTCTGCTACAGGATCTGTTAGGGCTGCAAAGGACAAATGTCCTTGTTGAGCCTGTCCCTATTCACCCTTTCTTACTTATTCTGCCTGGGCTGTTTTCACCTTCTTTGTCTATGCGTAATGCTTCCTTTTCTTGCTGGAAACAACTGTGCAGAATGCTGTAACCACTGAAGATGTCATTGACACTTTCCAGAGCATTTTTCAGGGCACTGACAGACTGATGCAACCAGTGTCATTGTGTTTTCAGGAGGTCAAAAGTCTTCATTTTTATGGTGATGAGGGGGCAAGGTCATCGTTTCATTTTTCAGAGGCTAAAGAGGGTGAAAAATCTCATCTGGAGGGAATAGATGGAGTCTCCTATGGGAAGACTTTCTTCAAAAATAGGGTGAAAACATGAGAGGACTTGTGGATAGAGGACACACTATCCTGCTGATAGTAGTCAAGATAAGTGTGCTGCTGGTCAATCTTTTCTTGCTTCAGATGTTGATTTCAAAGGGACACACATCATGGGGGAATTGTAACCACCCTGGTATCTGCTGGAAGGACAACACAACACTGAACAAGCAGTCTAGGAGATTTCTGGAGTGCCTTGGTGACAGCTTCCTGGCATAGCTGCTAACAAGGAAGGGCGCTCTGCTGGACTTGATACTTACAAACAAGGAAGAATGTGTCAGGGATGTGAAAGTCAGGAGCAGCCTTGAGATGGTAAGAGTTCAATATCCTAAAAGGACAAAGCAGTGCAAAAAGGAGGACCAGTACCCTGGATTTCAGGAGACCAGACTTCAACCTCTTCAGAGATCTGCATGGAAAAATCCCATGGGGTATGGCCATGGAGAGTAGAGGGATCCAGGAGAGCTGGTTGACACTCAAGGATCACCTCCTCCAAGTTCAAGAAAGCTCTATCCTAACAAGTAGGAAATCAAGCAAAGTCATCAGGAGTCCTGCATGGTATAAGCAAAGAGCTCTTGACTGAACTTATAAAAAGGGAGTGTTTAAGAGGTGGAAGCAAGGGCATATCACCCAAGAAGAGTATAGAGTTGGTGTCCAATATTGCAAGGATAGGGTTAGAAAAGCCAAGGCTGACCTGGAGTTGAATCTGACAAGTGATCGGAAAGGCAGCAAAAGAGAACTCTACAAGTACATAAACAGCAAAAGTAAGACAAGGGAAGATGTGTGCCTGCTGCTGAATGGGGCAGGGGAACTGGTGACAGAGGACACAGAAAAGGACGAGGTATTCAATGTCTTCTTTGCCTCAGTCTTTACTAGTAAGACTGGCCTTCAGAAATTCAAGGACCCAGAGACCAGGGGGAAGGTCTGGATCAGTGACGACTTACCCTCAGTGGAGGAGAACAAGGTTAGGGCACTTAGTGCTGAGGCAGCTGGCTGCTATCATTATGAGACCACTCTCAATTATCTTTGAATGGTCTTGGCAACTGGGAGAGATTCCTGAAGACTGGAAGAAAGCAAATGTCACCCTATCTTCAAAAAGAGTAAGAAAGAGGATCCAGGAAACTATAGGTCAGTCAGCATCACCTCGATCCCTGGAAAGGTAATGGAGCAACTAATCCTGGCAACCATTCCAAACACATGGGCAAGAGGGTGATTGGGAGTAATCAGCATGGATTTACAAAGGGGAAATCATGCTTAACCAACTTGATATCCTTGATAGGACAGACAACTTGATAGGATATGGGTAGAGCAATGGATGATGTTTACCTTGAGTTTACTAAAGTCTTTGAGACTGTCTCCTAGAACATCCTTAAATATAAGCTGACAAAGTGCACAGTGAGGAAGACTGAAAACCAGATGTAGCTGGGCCCAGAGGATTGTGGTCAGTGGTACGAAGTACAGTTGGATGCAGGTCATTAGTGCTGTACCTCAGGGGTTGATACTGGGGCAAATACTGTTTCATGTCTTCATTAATGGCTTGGGTGATGGGATAGAGTGCACCCTCAGCAAGTTTGCAGACAATACAAAACTGGGAGGAGCAGCTGATACACCAAATGGTTGTGCCATTCAGAGGGACCTTGGCAGGCTGAAGAACTGGCCTGAGAGGTATCTCATGAAGTTCAAAAAAGGGAAATGAAAAATCCTGCACCTGGGGAGGAATAACCCCATGAACTGTAGATGCTGGGGGCTGACTGACTAGAAAGCAGCTTTGGAAGAAAGGACTTGGGGGTGCTGGTGGACACCAAGTTGAACCTGAGAAATGCACCTGCACAGCAAAGGCGGCCAACAGCCTTCTGGGCTGCATTAGGCAGAGTGTTACGAGCAGGTTGAGGGAGGTGATCCTTTCCTTCTGCTCAGTACTGCTGAGGCCACCTCTGGAGTGCTGTGTCCGGTTCTGAGCTCCCCAGTGCATGAAAGATACGGACTGACTGAAGTGAGTCCAGCCACAAAGATGATTATGGGACTGGAGCATCTTTCATATAAGGAGAGGCTGAGAGAGCTGGGACTGTTCAGCTTGGAGAAAAGGTGGCTCAGGGGGAATCTCATCAATGTGTATAAACACCTTATATGAGCCAATGAAGAGGAAGAAGCAAAGCTCTTTTCAGTGGTGCCTACTGACAGGGCAAGAGGCAATGGACAGAAATTAAAAAACATGAAAATCCCTGGATTGCCCAGAGAGGTTGTGCAGTTTCCATCCTTGGAAATGTTCAAAAACCAACTAGACATGAACCTGGACAACCAACTGTAACTGACCCTGCTTGAATAGGGATGTTGGACTATATGACCTCAAGAAGTCCCTCCCAACCTAAATGATTCTGTGATTCTCTGAAATGACTAAGAAGATGGGTGCATCAGGGGAATATTCTTACTGAGAAGCCAGCCATCTTTGAATCAGTAGCTGTGGTGGGATAGGACCCACATATGGGCATCATGGACAAGGCAGGAACCTATCATGTTCATGGTGGTCTTTTTCTAGTGCAGGATGTGGGCACTGGCTTCGTCTCATGGCTGATGAACATTGCCATACAAGGTATTCACTACTAGGGTATGCTGTTAAAACAGTCTGCAGAAGACAGTACACATCATCTATTTCACAGATCTTTGATCAAAGCAAAAGTGAATGAATTGCTCCTTATACAATCTCAAAGCCTGGATGAAATTCCCCAGGACTTGATGATAAAAATTGTGGCCAAGCGAGTAACAGCCCAGAGGTTCTGAAAGCAGTTGGTCACAAAGCTATATATCAATAACAGGTACTTTTGTTCTCAAGAGAAGTAGAGGTATTGATCATAAACTGTGGAGGGAGAATGAGCCTTGGTTTAGAGATTGCACAGATACAACCTAAATTTGATGTTGTGGGAAAATTAATTATATGGTTCCTATCACCAAACTATCTAGCTGGACTCAGCCTTGTACTCCTTTAACTTTCAGCAAGTGTGTATTCCTATTACCAATTTGTAAAAGACAAACCCCAAGTGAGCAACATGCCATATAGTTCTTTCATACTTTTTTTAAAAAAGGAAAAAAAATAAGTACATAATTTTTACAGAGCAGTCTTTGGAATAAAATCGTGGAGTTCTGCCTGAAGCTTTTGGCATATGTCTCTGCCATCATTACTTTGCTGCATTTAAATTACTTGATAAATTGATGAATTTAAATTACTTCACAAGGTCGATATAAACTGATTTGTGGAAACTGCTGAACAGTAATTGGATTTAAAGTCCTCATCTTCTACATGTCTGTATTCTAATATCATTGTGTTCTAAAGGAAGGTTTGATATCTAACCTAACACACAGTTGAACACCATCACTTTCCATTTCTCTCCATTCACAGATATGCATCCAGCTGTAGCTATGAAAAACTGTGGTGCTTGTGTAATAACGTGTGGCATATTTTTATACGTCAGTCATTGATTTTTTTAATGTAGCATGGAGTAAGTGTACTGCAGTCATGACCTCCATCTAATTCAGATTCCTCTAGTGTTATATTTCACTTCCCCATTGTTTCAAAGTGGAAAAGCTCCTTACTGCTGTCAAAAGGTTTTCTTCTGAGGCTAAACTGGGCTTCATTCATCAGAAAAGAGAATGGAGAACTATGAAAACAAAGTGAAAATCAGCAAAGCAAGTGTTTATAGCTTGTTTGTAACTAATGAAAAGATGTTTCCCTAAATAGTAGGCTTTCTTCCTATCTGAACATACCTAGTGGTTTGACAGCTCTTCCCATCTTTTCTAGTTTGATCCATCCTTGCTATATATTTCAGTAGCTTGCACTTACTGAGATCTGAAGTATCACCCTTATTTCTGTAGTCTTGTCCTCTATACCACACACTATATACTACCACTATAAATGCCCATGCTGTTTTACAGATTTTGTAACTAAAATAAGTGTTTTCCAAATAAAAACAAAAACTCTGCTACAATATTTAACATAAAAATAGTGGTAATCACATCCTGGAGCATCTTTGTATGTTGGAATCCCTGTTGTAAGCTCCATGCTGCAGAACTCTGCTCAAAATCAGTGTCCTTTTCCAGTGCAATTGGTCTACTTGCTTTTAATGTGCAGAGAAAGGGCTTCAAATCATGCATAGAATATTAGCAGAGGCAATAGTACATTTGTATTTATGCACGCATTTTGGAAAAATGTATGGTAGTGTATGATCTGCGCCTTTCATTTATCAGGGCATTACTTCTCAAGTGCAAATTGGAAAGAAAGAATAAAATTGATACACATTGCTGGACATACGCTTGCTAATATTCTGTTAGTGTCTTTATTTTAAGGTTTGTGATACTCTGGCAGATGTGCGGCGAACACTGGAAGCACTCATTTCTGTCAAGAACTTCTTAAAACTAATAAAAGAACATGAAGCCATGAAACCATGTCAGTCTAAATAGTCAATTGCTGCATTCCTCAGCTCCTCAGCAGTTGAGTATCTGGTGGCACAGCTTTTGGTACCTGTTTCAAGATACATTATTTCCAATTCCTCTTCCTTCAGCCAATTTTCCTTTCATTTATGGAAATGAGAGAGGACATACTCCTCACCTTCGGTGAGAAGAGGTTCAAATCCAGTGTCAAGTTCACGTCTCGCGCTTTTCGGAGAAGTGCTTTTTCCGATTCATTTGCCAAATTGCCCAGGTTCCTCCCCTGCGGCTCCTACAAGCGGAGCTCCTCGTCGTAGGGGGTGCGGGTGGGCAGGCGGCGGCAGCGGGGCCTGCGGGGC